ATTCGGGTTGTGTGTCGCTTTGCAATGAACGAGTCGATAAGTCAGCCTTGCATTCGACCTCACTCCTTCAAGGGAAGTGTGGGGCTCTGTAATGCTTGATAATGCGGCGCAGCTAAGTGACTCCATGCCCGGTGATTCGGGATGTGTGTTGCTTGGCAGTGAATGAGTGGATGAGTCAGTCTTACATTCAATCTCACTCCTTCAAGGGAATAGTGGGGCTCTGTAAATGCTTGATAATGCGGGGAAGCCTTGTAACTTTATACATGGTGACTCGGGATGTGTGTTGCTTGGCAGTGAACGATAAGTCATTCTTGCGTTCGACCTCACTCCTTCAAGGGAAGTGTGGAGCTCTGATATGCTTGATAATGTGGGGCAGTCAAGTGACTCCATGCCCGGTGATTCAGGATATGTGTTGCTTGGCAGTGAACGAGTCGTTGAGTCCGTCTTGCATTCAACCTCACTCTTTCACGGGAAGTTTGGGGCTGTGATATTCTTGATAATGTGGGGAAGCCTTGTAACTCCATACATAGGTATTCAGGATGTGTGTTGCTTGGCAGTGAAAGATGAGTCATTCTTGCGTTCAGCCTCATTCCTTCAAGGGAAGTGTGGGGCTTTGATATGCTTGATAATGTGGGGCAGCCAAATGACTCCATGCCCGGTGATTCGGGATGTGTGTTGCTTGGCAGTGAACGAGTCCTTGAGTCAGTCTTGCATTCAACCTCACTCTTTCACGGGAAGTGTGGAGCTCTGATATGCTTGATATTGTGGTGAAGTCTCTGTAACTCCATACCTGGTGATTCGGGATGTGTGTTGCTTGGCAGTGAACGATGAGTCATTCTTGCGTTCAACCTCACTCCTTCAAGGGAAGTGTGGGGCTCTGATATACTTGATAATGTGGGGCAGCCAAGTGACTCCATGCCCGGTGAATCAAGATGTGTGTTGCTTGGCAATGAACGAGTTGATGAGTCAGTCTTGCATTCAACCTCACTCCTTCACGGCAGTGTGGTGCTCTGTAATGCTTGATAATGCAGGGCAGCCAAGTGACTCCATGCCCGGTGATTCGTGATGTGTGTTGCTTGGCAGTGAACGATGAGTCATTCTAGCGTTCAACATAACTCCTTCAAGGGAACTGTGGGGCTCTGATATGCTTAATAATGCGGCGCAGCTAAGTGACTCCATGCCCGGTGATTCGGGATGTGTGTTGCTTGGCAGTGAATGAGTCGATGAGTCAGTCTTGCATTCAATCTCACTCCTTCAAGGAAAGTGTGGGGCTCTGTAAATGCTTGATAATGCGGGGAAGCCTTGTAATTTTATACATGGTGATTCGGGATGTGTGTTGCTTGGCAGTTAACGATAAGTCATTCTTGCGTTCAACCTCATTCCTTCAAGGGAAGCGTGGAGCTCTGATATGCTTGATAATGTGGGGCAGTCAAGTGACTCCATGCCCGGTGATTCGGGATATGTGTTGCTTGGCAGTGAACGAGTCGTTGAGTCCGTCTTGCATTCAACCTCACTCATTCACGCAAAGTTTGGGGCTGTGATATGCTTGATAATGTGAGGAAGCCTTGTAACTCCATACATAGGTATTCAGGATGTGTGTTGCTTGGCAGTGAACGATGAGTCATTCTTGCGTTCAACCTCACTCCTTCAAGGGAAGTGTGGGGCTCTGATATGCTTGATAATGCGGCGCAGCTAAGTGACTCCATGCCCGGTGATTCGGGATGTGTGTTGCTTGGCAGTGAACGATAAGTCATTCTTGCGTTCAACCTCACTCCTTCAAGGGAAGCGTGGAGCTCTGATATGCTTGATAATGTGGGGCAGTCAAGTGACTCCATGCCCGGTGATTCAGGATGTGTGTTGCTTGGCAGTGAACAAGTCGTTGAGTCCGTCTTGCATTCAACCTCACTCTTTCACGGGAAGTTTGGGCCTGTGATATGCTTGATAATGTGAGGAAGCCTTGTTACTCCATACATAGGTATTCAGGATGTGTGTTGCTTGGCAGTGAAAGATGAGTCATTCTTGCGTTCAACCTCATTCCTTCAAGGGAAGTGTGGGGCTTTGATATCCTTGATAATGTGGGGCAGCCAAGTGACTCCATGCCCGGTGATTCGGGATGTGTGTTGCTTGGCAGTGAACGAGTCGATGAATCAGTCTTGTATTCAACCTCACTCCTTCAAGGGAAGTGTGGGGCACTGAAATGCTTGATAATGTGGGGAAGCCTTGTTACTCCATACCTGGTGATTCGGGATATGTGTGGCTTGGCAGTGAACGATGAGTCATTCTTGCGTTCAACCTCACTCCTTCAAGGGAAGTGTGGGGCTCTGATAAGATTGATAATGCGGGGCAGCAAAGTGACTGCATGCCCGGTGAATCAAGATGTGTGTTGCTTGGCAATGAACGAGTGAATGAGTCAGTCTTGCATTCAACCTCACTCTTTCACGGGAAGTGTGGAGCTCTGATATGCTTGATAATGTGGGGAAGTCTTGTAACTCCATACCTGGTGATTCGGGATGTGTGTTGCTTGGCAGTGAACGATGAGTCATTCTTGCGTTCAACCTCACTCCTTCAACGGAAGTGTGGGGCTGTGATATCCTTGATAATGTGGGGCAGCCAAGTGACTCCATGCCCGGTGATTCGGGATGTGTGTTGCTTGGCAATGAACGAGTTGATGAGTCAGTCTTGCATTCAACCTCACTCCTTCACGGCAGTGTGGTGCTCTGGAATGCTTGATAATGCGGGGCAGCCAAGTGACTCCATGCCCGGTGATTCGGGATGTGTGTTGCTTGGCAGTGAACGATGAGTCATTCTAGCGTTCAACATCACTCAATCAAGGGAAGTGTGGGGCTCTGATATTCTTGATAATGCGGCGCAGCTAAGTGACTCCACGCCCGGTGATTCGGGATGTGTGTTGCTTGGCATTGAACGAGTCGATGAGTAAGTCTTGCATTCAACCTCACTCCGTCAAGGGAAGTGTGGGGCTCTGTAAATGCTTGATAATGCGGGGAAGCCTTGTAATTTTATACATGGTGATTCGGGATGTGTGTTGCTTGGCAGTGAACGATGCGTCATTCTTGCGTTCAACCTCACTCCTTCAAGGGAAGTGTGGGGCTCTGATATGCTTGATAATACGGGGCAGCCAAGCGACTCCATGCCCGGTGAATCAAGATGTGAGTTGCTTGGCAATGAACGAGTTGATGAGTCAATCTTGCATTCAACCTCACTCCTTCACGGCAGTGCTGTGCCCTGTAATGCTCGATATTGCGGGGCAGCCAAGTGACTCCATGCCTGGTGATTCGGGATGTGTGTTGCTTGGCAGTGAATGATGAGTCATCCTTGCGTTCAAACTCCCTCCTTCAAGGGAAGTGTGGGGATCTGATATGCTTGATAATGTGGGGCAGCCAAGTGACTCCGTGCCCGGTGATTCGCGATGCGTGTTGCTTGGCAGTGAACGAGTCGATGAATCAGTCTTGTATTCAACCTCACTCATTCAAGGGAAGTGTGGGGCTCTGATATGCTTGATAATGTGGGGAAGCTTTGTAACTCCATACCTGGTGATTCGGGATGTACTGATTGGCAGGGAACGATGAGTCATTCTTGCGTTGAACCTCACTCCTTCAAGGGAAGTGTGGGAATTTGATATGTTTAAGAATGTGGGGAAGGCAAATGATTCCACGCCCGTCTACTTGCGATATTTATTGCTTGGCAGTGAACGAGTTGATGAGTCATTCTTGTGTTCAACCTCACTCCTTCAAGGGAAGTGTGGGGCTCTGATATGCTTGATAATGCGGCGCAGCCAAGTGACTCCATGCCCGGTGATTCAGTATGTGTGTTGCTTGGCATTGAACGAGTCGATGAGTTGGTCTTGTATTCAACCTCACTCCTTCAAAGGAAGTGTGGAGCTCTGATATGCTTGATAATGTGGGGAAGCCTTGTAACTCCATACCTGGTGATTCGGGATGTGTTGCTTGGCAGGGAACGATGAGTCATTCTTGCGTTGAACCTCACTCCTTCAAGGGAAGTGTGGGGCTCTGATATGCTTGATAATGCGGCGCTGCCAAGTGACTCCATGCCCGGTGATTCGGGATATGTGTTGCTTGGCAGTGAACGAGTCGATGAGTCAGTCTTGCATTCAACTTCACTCCTACAAGTGAAGTGTGGTAATTTGATATGTTCGATAATGTGGGGCAGCCAAATGATTCCACGCCCGTCTACTTGCGATATTTGTTGTTTGGCAGTTAACGAGTTGATGAGTCAGTCTTGCGTTCAACCTCACTCCTTCACGGCAGTGTGGTGCTCTGTTTTGCTTGATAATGCGGGGAAGCCTTGTAACTCCATACCTGGTGATTCGGGATGTGTGTTGCTTGGCAGTGAACAATGAGTCATTCTTGCATTCAACCTCACTCCTTCAAGGGAAGTGTAGGGCCCTGATATGCTTCATATGCGGTGAGCCAAGTGACCACATGCCCACTTATTCGGGATGTGTGTTGCTTTTGCAGTGAACGAGTCGTTGAGTCAGTCTTGCATTCAACCTCACTCCTTCAAGATAAGTGTGGGAATTTGATATGTTTGATAATGTGGGGAAGCCAAATGATTCCACGCCCGTCTACTTGCGATCCTTGTTGCTTGGCAGTGAACGAGTTGATGAGTCATTCTTGCGTTCAACCTCACTCCTTCAAGGGAAGTGTGGGGCTCTGATATGCTTGATTATGCGGCGCAGCCAAGTGACTCCATGCCCGGTGATTCGGGATGCGTGTTGCTTGGCAGTGAACGAGTCGATGAGTCCGTCTTGTGTTCAACCTCACTCCTTCAAGGGAAGTGTGGGGCTCTGATATGCTTGATAATGTGGGGAAGTCTTGTAACTCCATACCTGGTGATTCGAGATGTGTGTTGCTTGGCAGTGAACGACAAGTCATTCTTGCGTTCAACCTCACTCCTTCAAGGGAAGTGTGGGGATCTGATATGCTTGATAATGTGGGGCAATTAAGTGACTCCATGCCCGGTGATTCGGGATGTGTGTTGCTTGGCAGTGAACGAGTCGTTGAGTCAGTCTTGCATTCAACCTCACTCCTTCAAGATAAATGTGGGAATTTGATATGTTTGATAATGTGGGGAAGCCAAATGATTCCACGCCCGTCTACTTGCGATCCTTGTTGCTTGGCAGTGAACGAGTTGATGAGTCATTCTTGCGTTCAACCTCACTCCTTCAAGGGAAGTGTGGGGCTCTGATATGCTTGATTATGCGGCGCAGCCAAGTGACTCCATGCCCGGTGATTCGGGATGCGTGTTGCTTGGCAGTGAACGAGTCGATGAGTCAGTCTTGTGTTCAACCTCACTCCTTCAAGGGAAGTGTGGGGCTCTGATATGCTTGATAATGTGGGGAAGTCTTGTAACTCCATACCTGGTGATTCGAGATGTGTGTTGCTTGGCAGTGAACGAGTCGATGAGTCAGTCTTGCATTCAACCTCACTCCTTCAAGGGAAGTGTGGGGCTCTGATATGTTTGATCATTCGGGGAAGCCTTGTAACTCCATACCTGGTGATTCGGGATGTGTGTTGCTTGGCAATGAACGATGAGTCATTCTTGCGTTCAACCTAACTCCTGCAAAGGAAGTGTGGGGCTCTGATTTGCTTGATAATGCCGGGCAGCGAAGTGACTCCATGCCCGGTGGTTCAGGATGTGCGTTGCTTGGCAATGAACGAGTCGATCAGTTAGTCTTGCATTCAACCTCACTCCTTCACGGGAAGTGTGGGGCGCTGATACGCTTTATAATGTGGAGAAGTCTTGTAACTCCGTACATGGTGATTCGGGATGTGTGTTGCTTGGCAGTGAACGATGAGTCATTCTTGCGTTCAACCTCACTCCTTCAAGGGAAGTGTGGGGCTCTGATATGCTTGACAATGCGGCGCAGCTAAGTGACTCCATGCCCGGTGATTCGGGATGTGTGTTGCTTGGCAGTGAACGAGTCGATGAGTCGGTCTTGTATTCAACCTCACTCTTTCACGGGAAGTGTGGGGCTTTGATATGCTTGATAATGTGGAGAAGTCTTTTTAACTCCATACCTGGTTATTCGGGATGTGGTTTGCTTTCCGGTGAACGATGAGTCATTCTTGCATTCAACCTCACTCCTTCAAGGGTAGTGTTGGGCTCTGATATGCTTGATAATGCGAGGCAGCCGAGTGACTCCATGCCCGGTCATTCGGGATTTGTGTGGCTTGGCAGTGAACGAGTCGATGAGTCAGTCTTGCATTCAACATCAGCCGAAATGATTCCATGCCCGTTGATTTGGCGTAAGTGTTGCTTGGCATTGAACGAGTCGACGAGTCAATCTTGCATTAAACCACACGCCTTCAGGGTAATTCTGTGGCGCTGATGTGCTTTATAATTTGGGCAGCCGAATTGATTCCATGCCCGGTTGTTCCGGCAAGTGATTTGGTCAGGTGTTCCTTAGTTGAGGGAGGGATGAAGCGGTGTTGTTTTTAGCATTGCACCGTCATACGGGGTGGGGTTACTTGAAAAACTTTATGATGTGAATTTTTGGATAGACTTGTGACTCCGCATAGGGTGATTCGGGCAGGTGTTGCTTGGTGATGAACAATGAAAATGTTTTGTAATAACCTCACTGCTACAAGGGATGTGTGGTGACTTGAAATGCTTGAGAACGTGAGGGGTTTGGGGCAGCCGTGTGACTCCAAGGTGTTGCTTGACAATTAGAGATGGATATTGGATTTTCACTCAACATCCCTTCCTCAGGTTGGCTGCGGTATGCTGGACAGTTTGCTATGTTGGATCCTCCTCACCACACAGCCACCCCCGTAAGATTTATATGTTTCTAAGGCCTCCAAAATGTCTGCGTGTGTGTGTGCGCGTGTTTTACTTGTACAAGCAGTTTCTTTCCTGGTGACCAAGACGTTCTACTCTTTCTTTTGTGCACCCACCCCTCTCCTGCAGCAATGTTCTATGTTGCTCATGGATATAATATGGTATCCTGGTATCACACACACGCACACACGCACGCACACACACACACACACACACACAGTAGGAGACGTTCACCAGGGGCGTCACCCGTGAGGGGCACAGGGGGCACGTGCACCCCCTAAAAAATTCGACCTTGCTTTTTTTGCGAACTCCTGGTTATGATGAAAAGTGTACTGCGCGCTGCGGCGGCGTGCTGGGTGTTTGTTTGAAACAGAAGAAATCAATAATTCAGTGTGGTCACAAGTAAGTTAGCCAGGTCACCAGTCTCACCACACTTGAAGAGTCTTTGGAGCTGTTTCCTCTCAAAATGTCGTCTTCTCAAAAAAGGAAAGCGTCTGGCCAGCTCGCTATCAGCGAACTTTTTCGGAGGAATGCGAACCCAGAAGTGAGGCGAGACGACGAAGCCATTCCTGTTGCAGCTGGGCCAGGGGAATCGGACGATGAGGGACCTGACGAAGAACCGGCACGCAGCAATGCTGTTATGCTTCGGTATCGATTGCCCTTCTTTACACTGTCACCCATTTATGATTATGCACTAGCGCTGCAGTCGACCCCATGAACTGCTCAAGTTATTTTTGGCAAGACACACCGAATTCGAAGAATAGTGTCATACTCAATTTTGCTGGGCAAAATTTCTGTGCACCCCCCTGTAAAGGGGTCCGGTGACGCCCCTGTTCACCCTGGGCCGAACTGTGGGTTTCTATCTCTCTCTCTATCTCTCTATCTATCTATCTCTCTCTCTCTCACTCTCACTCTCTCTCTGTCTCTCTATCTATCTATCTCTGTCTCTCACTTTCTCTCTCTCTCTCTCTGTCTCTCTCTCACACTCACTCACTCTCTCTGCTGCAGCGTCATCGGGGTCTGCTACAGCGTCATCGAGGTCTGCTACAGCGTCATCGATGTCTGCTACAGAGTCATCGAGGTCTGCTACAGCGTCATCGGGATCTGCTACAGCGTCATCGAGGTCTTCTGCAGCGTCATCGAGGTCTGCTACAGCATCATCGAGGTCTGCTACAGCGTCATCGAGGTCTGCTGCAGCGTCATCGAGGTCTGCTACAGCGTCATCGAGGTCTGCTACAGCGTCATCGAGGTCTGCTACAGCATCATCGAGGTCTGCTACAGCGTCATCGGGATCTGCTACAGCGTCATCGGGGTCTGCTACAGCGTCATCGGGGTCTGCTACAACGTCATCGAGGTCTGCTACAGCGTCATCGAGGTCTGCTACAGCGTCATCAGGGTCTGCTACAGCGTCATCGAGGTCTGCTACAGCGTCATCGAGGTCTGCTACAGCGTCATCGAGGTCTGCTACAGCTTCATCGAGGTCTGCTACAGCGTCATCGAGGTCTGCTACAGCGTCATCGGGGTCTGCTACAGCGTCATGGAGGTCTGCTACAGCGTCATCGAGGTCTGCTACAGCGTCATCGAGGTCTGCTACAGCGTCATAGAGGTCTGCTACAGCGTCATGGAGGTCTGCTACAGCGTCATCGAGGTCTGCTACAGCGTCATCGAGGTCCGCTACAGCGTCTTCGGGGTCTGCTACATCATCATCTAGGTCTGTTGCAGCGTCATCGGGGTCTGCTGCAGTGTCGTCGGAGATGCCGTCCACGCATGATGCTGGCTTCCGTTGTTCGTCGGTCATTGAAACTGGTAAGTTAGCTCGCAATTTGCTTGCTTTCACAATGTTTGAAATGCTTACAGGGCGCTGGTAGTTTGTCACAACCGTTTATGTACATGTACATCAAATATCTGGCGACAATTTGTCTAGGCAAGCAACTTAGGGTCCAGCATTTCGAGTTTGGAGTCTGATCCTCCGTCTGCCTCTGTATGTCAGTCTCTGTCTGTCTCTCTCTGTTTCTCTCTGTCTCTCTCTGTCTCTCTCTGTGTCTCTCTCTGTGTCTCTCTCACTCTGTCTCTCTCTCTCTCTCTCTCTCTCTCTCTCTCTCTCTCTCTCTCTCTCTCTCTCTCTCTCTCCCTCCCTCCCTCTCTCCCTCTCTCTCTCTCTCTCTCTCCCTCTCTCTCTCTCTCTCTCTCTCTCTCTCTCTCTCTCTCTCTCTCTCTCTCTCTCTCTCTCTCTCTCTCTCTCTTTTGTAATGAAACATACTTGAAAGCAGAAACATACTGCTGTGGACATTGAAATCTGATGGAATAACCGGGGCTGCTGCAGCTGTGCTCACTGTTTTACAGTGTATACATGCACTGCTTCAGTTCACGTACACACTGTAAAAATGGACCAGCAGTGCTCGCAGCTGCAAGGTCAGCGCCCCGCGGCCACTTGGCTTCTCAATGAATTCCAAAGTCCACAACAGTAGTCTACAGCAAAAAAAGAAATGTGTATGAGCAGAGCTGTGAAGCAAAGACATCACTGATGGCATCAAGGAAAAAAACAAAGACAAGAAGACTAGGGCTGAAACGATCGTGATATTTCCTTAGTGGCTTAGCTGATATCATAAAGATTGGCTTATCGGATTAGCGACATATTTTCACTCTATATGGCACACTTGACACAATCATTGGCACGGGATCAGTTTTTTTTTAAATCGGATTAATAATTTTTTAGTGTATTCCGTGGATATGAATTCTACACGTGATAGCTCGAGTGAGTGCTCTGTACATGTACCGTAAAGTCCGCTGCAAATGCCCACTTCGCAGCAAACGCCCAATCCGGCGGGTCCATACTATTTTCGTCTTTTTTAGGTCAATATATATATATGTCAAGTGAGAATTCAAGTCGGCAGGAAAACCGCGAGCTCCCATGTAGGGAGCAACACACTCTTCCTCAGGTCAATCTAGTTGTAGAAAGCTGGCATGGAGGTCGAATACGTACGAGAACGACTGTAATGCCTACAAACTGCCTATGTCTTACCAGGAGGCTCTGCAAAAGCGATTGTCATTCTCTTGCTGCAAAGAAAACTTCGTCGAGATTTCCTTTCATTCGAAGTTGTCTTTGGTATTAGTTCGTTCTCCATATGGTTATGCCATAGAATCCATCTGGTTTGCAAATCACGAAATTTCTGCAGTGCCATGTCGGGCTTCTGACGAAGCGGCAGTCAACAACTTGACCGTTCGCAGTATTGCAGTTGTAAGTTGAACACTTTACAGGGGGGGGGGGGGGGGGGAGGGGGGGATGTCACAGAAGCTACTCCTATAAAGTAAGTCGCTGCTAACTTGTTGAAAACTCTGAAGTGGTCGAGAAAAACCCTTGCCTTTGCGCGCTGCGTGATTTGGAAATGGCTTGAAACACCGTCAGAGCTGTATTTGGTTCCTGCAAATACTCTGTTATTCGCTACTTTGTTTTTCGGCAGAATTTGCGAAATAGAACAACCAACATCATCGCTACTAGCTAGCTCGAAGCTAGTACAGAACGGGATTTTGAACCAGGAAAGTGGACATAGTTTACCGTAGCAAAGCGGTCTTCGCGCTACGGTGTGAGAAGTCCTTTCGTACAGTAGGGGTGACCGTGCATGGGGTCAGTGTGGACACGCTTGCAGATCTTTCTAGAATGGGGTGGGCGTTTGCAGCGGATTTTACGGTATACATCTGGGTGTAGGGCATGGTATACTAGTACTCAGGTTTTGTAGAGGGAGAGATCAATAAAATATTCCTGCAACTATTGATTATCATTACTTAGCACTAGCCAACCGTGTTATGAGGCTGTCGATCGCCCGTACGTGAATCTCTGAGTTACAGCAATACTGTTTCATTGTTCCTCTTTCGAACTGCAATGACCAACTGCCGCTACCCAGTCGAGATCCAGGTCGGCGAATTTCTGAGTCCCGTGCGATGAGACAAACGTGGGCGACTGGTGGAGTTGCCAAGTAAACCAATTTCGACAAGTAATTTTTAGTTGCAGCGCTTGTCCGATGCTGCAGAAGTCGAAGTTCTCTAGTCCAATTCAGTAGCCGCGCCTGCAGGGTGACCGAGTTGGAATATCGATGAGTTTTCCAACGCGAGGTGAGCGAAGAGGTAGCCCATCCTGCTCTGTCAGTAGAACGCGTTTTTTTCTTCGCTCGAACAGAAGTATGTTTCTCCATACCACACTCAAAAATTCATCAACAATCCAGTCCTCGGTTCGCTGGAGAACACCTTGGCAAAGGTGAGTGTTCGAGAAACAGTGATTCCACTACAATGCAGTTGTAACAAGGGAAAAACTACAATTTTCAAGACGAGTCGATGATATTCATTCCCATTAAGTGAAACGTTTTTCTTGCTGCTACGGTCACCTGGTCACCACCTGTGCTGCATACACTGCATGGCACGCGTGAACTGGAGTCTGTTGCAGTGTTTGACCCGCACTGCAAGCTCCACGCCGCGCAGTTCAGTGTATCAGGTGTACCGGCATACGTCACAATGCTTTTTGATAGGACAATGAATGCATGCACGGTAGAAATGTTACCTCTCGCCGTCAAAAGTGTACTTTTTTCAAGCCGATAAGCCGATAGCAACTAAAATACTCGTTCGATATCTTTTCCAACGAGTAATTACCGAGTAATCGGTATAATCGTTTCAGCCAAAGAAGACCCAGCCGAAAAGGTGTGAAACACTTCTTGTCTACTCGTATTTTTTTGAAATGCACTCTCTGTCCGGGACAGCGATTGGGAGGCCACAAGAACATGCTGAATTCACAGTGTGTATGTGTTCATTTTCAACTTTCTCTGCAGACGTGCATCAAACTAGACAGTGGACAAGTGCAACACACTATCGCTATTGCAACCACCCACTGTGGGCAAGTGCAACACACTATTGTTATTGCAACCACTCACTGTGATGCAATGGGCGTCGACATCCGGCTGAGGATCGGACACAGCAGATTTGCGGACACGCAAGCCCCAGCACATGCGTACTGCTTGGAAGAGACAAGCTGCACTTTGATTGCCCTTCACGGAGCGTTCGAAGAGTAAGTCGGATGATAGCTTTGGCATACTCTTCTAGTCTTGTAGGCAACATTCAGTTATTCCATGCCCCGTCAAGTGTAGTTGCGATACTTCCAATGTTGTCAATAGTCAGTGTGTTTACTGCTGTTGCGCTCGGTGAAATTCAACATGAAATGCATATTTGGCACCCAGTACCGATGCGGCCCTCGACCATGTTGACGCCATGTTAAGCGGCGCGATGCACAATATCACTTCTGCGACGTGAGGCACCCAGTACCGATGCGGCCCTCGACCATATTGACGCCATGTTAAAGGGGAAGTTAAGGCAAAAATTAAAATTTCACCAGTTGTAGTCTTCGGGGTGCTGAGTCGAATGGTCTTGGTCCGAGGAAGCTGAGACGCTCCCTTCCTACTTGAATCCCAATCGAACTCGCGCACTTCCACCGAAACTGGGTGACTGCGCCCTACGAGATGGGGATTTGTATGCAAAATGTCACTAAAAGCGCCATTTCGTTCTTATAAAAGCACGGATGACCGCGATTGGCCCATATGTTGTAGTCTTTTGGACGCTGAGTCGACTGGTTTTGGTCCGAAAAGGCTGCGATGCAGTGTTCCTCCTTTATTCCCAATCGAACATGGTTGAACAAGTGGTCACGTGCTCCTGGGTGCCAAAATCACCTGGTCACCACGCCAGCAGGTGACAACTTTCACACCAAGGTTCAACTCGAGTGACAGGACTGCACCCAAAAAAGGTCAAACAGGCTAGTAAGTTGTACCCTGCAGGCACGGTGACCAGGTGACTGGTGTACGCAGGAGCACGTGACCGCTTGTTCAACCATGTTCGATTGGGAATAAAGGCGGAACGCTGCATCGCAGCCTTTTCGGACCAAAACCAGTCGACTCAGCGTCCAAAAGACTACAACATATGGGCCAATCGCGGTCATCCGTGCTTTTATAAGAACGAAATGGCGCTTTTAGTGACATTTTGCATACAAATCCCCATCTCGTAGGGCGCAGTCACCCAGTTTCGGTGGAAGTGCGCGAGTTCGATTGGGATTCAAGTAGGAAGGGAGCGTCTCAGCTTCCTCGGACCAAGACCATTCGACTCAGCACCCCGAAGACTACAACTGGTGAAATTTTAATTTTTGCCTTAACTTCCCCTTTAAGCGCGATGCACAATATCACTTCTGCGACGTGATGAGCGACGAGCCATGTGATCAAGAGTTATTTTTCTGCAAAACTTTGCATTGCAGGCTGTCGCAGCTCCGTGAAAGGTTGCATCGCGGGAAATTGAGCCCAGTTCAACTTCGCCGACT